TGGAAGTCCCGACAACTTTACTCCATCTACGTCATAAAAGATGCTACTTTGATGAGGCAGCTTTTCCCCAGTCTTATTTTGAGTGCCTTCCAACATTTCGTCTGCAATTTCATGTATTACTTGAAAATTAGGAAAGTTAAGTTGAGATTTGAACTGCAGATATGTCAAAGGGATGAAATTGATAATTGTTGGTAAGTCTAGGGGTTCCTCCAGACATGGGTAGGTTCTATGGTCTCTCTTATTTACCCCCAAAAGGAGATGAGAATGTTGACCACTTACAAAGCTCAGATAGGGAGTCTAACTACAGGGGTTGTTGTTCTAAACTCTGTTGTGGGATTAGCAAGAGGGAAGGCTCAATCATCAAAGGAGGTATAGACATTCATATTAAATCAGAGCAAAGAAGCTGGAGAAGCCCAATGAAAAAGATACCATCTAGCACCTGAACACAAGCTTGGCCATGGATTTAAAAGTCACTTGAATAAGCCAAGCAAGATTAGCAGGTAAGGGAACCACAATTCAACCAATGAACAAAGTAGAAGGTAAAAGAAAAAGACATGTAGTTGTCTTAAGTTGTCGTTGTTAGCTGCCATAAAGTTAGGCCCTGACTCATGGTGACTTCATGTACAAAAGAAGGAAATATTGCCTTGTCTGTACCATCCCCATGACAGGTAGCAGATCAGACCATTGTGATCCATAAGGCTTTCACTGGCTGATTTTTAGAAGTATATCACCTTTCCTCCTAGTCAGTGTAAGTGTGAAAGCTCCACTGAAACCTGTTCAACATCAGAGCAACATGCAAGTCTCCACTGACAGATGGGTGGTGGCTGTGCTTGAAGCACATTGACCAGGAATTGAATGCAAGTCTCCTGCATGGAAGGCAAGAATTCTACCATTGAACCACCAGCACCTCACAGTTGTCTATAAAAACTCGTTGCTGTTGAGTTGATGTCACCTCAAAGTGACCCTATAGGACAGAGCAGAACTGCCCCATAGGGTTTCTAAGGCTATAATCTTTATGAAAGGAGATTGCCACATCTTTCTCTTAAACCACAAACTTTCTGGTTAGGAGCCAAGCACTTTAACCATTGTATCACCAGGGCTTCTTAGAGGAAGGAAAAATGGGCTAAATATGGAATCAGTCACCAAGTTTGCATGTTCTGCCTTATATGCTCTATGCCCCAAGGTAGATGTGGGTAAACTGAGTCAACATGCAGTGTAGACCAGAACCCCATAGTGGAAGGAACATAGGAGCAGGGATGCTTTGGGACCAAGATGGGTAGTGCTCAGTTCAGAGGTACTCCTCCTCAGGAGAGTTCTGGAAATTTTTAGAGGAGTGTATGGAGTCCTTGGGTGGTGTAAACAGTTAACATGCTCAGCTGCTAACCAAAAGGTCGGAGGTTTAGGTCCATGCTGAAGCACTTGGGAAGAAAGGTATGGTGATTCTACCTCAGAAAAATCAGCCATTGAAAATGCTATGGAGTGCAGTTGTACTCTGACACACATGAGGTTTCCACAAGTTGTGGTCAACTCCATGGCAATTGGTTCCTTGATGTTTGGTTGTTGGTGGGATAGCACCATAGATGTCTGGAAATCTGCAGGGCATTTGTGGAAGATGAAGAATTGTCCCATGTCCTGTATTACTTCCCAAGGTCCCTCTGGACATCCAGATGGATGAAAATCCTGTTGATGATTATCTGAGCAGAGAATGTGCCTCCATTTCACATATGCACAGAGAATATTTTACATAGTTTTAATATACATAGAATTTTCCAGGAATGAAACTATTGTGCAAATTGAGGGAAGATGATACCTTACTTTTTGGGGATTTAGTATCTAAGATTCTTCACTATTCCATAAAATCTTCACCCTGGGTATCAGAGTCCAACTCAGCCTGGCTTTATCTCTCTACCCTGGGTACAGCCATGTCTGTGTTGATTCTCACACAGCCTTGAGCATTTCCTCATTTCACAGATCTCCTAGGGTTGTTGACTCAAAGTACTAACACATTGAGGTACTTATTACCTTACTCTAAATTATTTTCTTTTTATTTCTCCTGATATATCAGAGGACTCCCTGGAGCAAACTGTTAAAGCTCAGCTGTGTACTGAAAGGTTGGAGGTTCGAGTCCACTCACGGGCACCTCAAAGAAAGGCCTTGGAGATCTACTTCCCCAAACTCAGTCATTGGAAACCTTAAGGAACACAGTTCTGCTCTGACACGCATGGGTTTGTCAAAAGTTAGATTCCACTCCATAGCAACTGGTTACTGGTTATACTACATCAGAGAATTTCAAATATGCTTGTGACTGTGTAAGATATGCTTTCTTTGAAAAGTGACATTGTTGTTGTTAGCTGGCACTGATTCAGACTTGATTTGTGGCATCCCCACATGTTATAGAGTAGAACTTCTCCATAGAGTTTTCTTGGCTATAATCTTTACAGAAGCAGTTCACCAGGCCTTCTCTTCCATGGTGCTGCTAGGTGGGTTCAAGCTGCCAACCTTTGGGTTAGCAACCGATTACAAACAGCTTGGGCAGCCTCCTCTACAGTCTGTTTTAGTATTGCATATGTTGGTAAGTTAAGGAGCTCTGGTGGCACAGTGCCTAAAACATCTGACTGCTAATCAGAAGCTTGGCAGTTCAAACCCACCAGCCACTCTGTGGGAGGAAGATGAGGCACTCTACTTCTACAAAGATTTAGGGACCTGGAAACCCAATGGGGATCGCTATTAATTGGAATTAACTCAATGGCAGTTCTATCATCTTCACATTTAATTTCAAGTCATTACAAAGCACTAATTAGAAAAAAGGGGGTACGGGGGCCAAAGGCCACTGACCTGGAAATTTGAATTTGGACTAGAATCCTTGGCCTCCTGGACCTCCTATACTGTAAATGAGAGGGCTGAACCAACTCAACATCTATTCCATGATGAACCAGTCCAGAGTAAGAAATAGGGATGAGGTAGTTTAGGGGCAGACGATTTGGATCAATCACCAGTCTGAATGGGAAAGGGCAAAGGGTAGCAGGAGAACCATAAACTAGCTTCATAAACCTCCTCCCTACAGAAATGTCACCATTCACTATCTTCCAAGGTGCCTCTGGTTGGATTTGAACCACCAACTTTCAGCTATTAGTCAAGCAATTTACCATCTGTGCCACCCAGGGACTCCTACTGAAGTACACAGAGGCAATGTAGTTACATATATAACTGTGGTTATAGCATCAGCTTCTGGCCACATGATAGTCTTCTCAGTCACGGAGCTACCAAAGAAAGGTCAGGAGTTTTGTCCTGGAATAACAATGATGAAAGCTTACCAACACTCTGAATCATAAGCCAAGCTATAAAATCCTTGATAGAGGGGCCAACCATATTTCTCTGTACTCTCATGTAGCCCCACTAACCACGACCACTACTTTCTCCTCCCTGAAGCAACTGCAGGGAAAACAGCAGAGACTGTATCTATTCGTGCCACCAGAGACACGGCTTCCGTAGCAAGCACAGGGCTGGATCCTCCAGCAGGTCACCTTGCTTTACTAGAACAGCCTGGAAATTTTAGAAACCTTCCAGCTGCTATATTCCCCACCTTTGTTTCCCAGTTGGGGTTGATTCCCTAGAACAAAGGGAGTGTGGTCAAGAAAAGTGAGACAAGGAAGGCACACAAAGGATTCATAGTCGGGAAATGTGATGCAGTACTTTTGAGTCTGGAGGGTTCATGACCCTAAGAAGCTAACTACTGCATGTCAGCTTGTTTTGTCTATTGAATGTGTCAATTTTAGGGTCACAGTATTAGATGTATATAGTATCAAAGCAACTACAGGTACCCAAAAGGAAGTAGGCCCCACAAAGGCCCCCTCTGCAGATGAGTCATGGATTGCTCTCATTCAGAAATACCACTGTAAACAGATATGAATTCCATGACCTAAACCTTAACCCCCTACTGAACTGTTGTGTGCTGTTGAATCAATTCTCACTACAGTGACCCTATGTGACAGAACAGAACAGTCCCATAGAGCTTCCCAGACTGTAATTTTACAGGAATAGATTGCCAGGTCTTTTCTCCCTTGGAGCTACCGGTGGGTTCAAACTGCCAATCTTCTGGTTAGCAGCTGACTGCTTCACCACTGCACCACCAGGGCTCCTTCCTACTGAATTCCATAGGGATAATGCAAAGGGGTCTCCTATGCACTTCTCCAGCTGGAGGATTGGCCTCACACCCCTGTCTAGAACAGTCTCACACTCACATGCAATCTTTTCTCTCTCTGCTTGAGTCTGCTTCCACTTCAGGGCTAGCCATCAGTTACCAGCTGCCACTGAGTGGATTCTGACTCATGCGACTCCATGTGTGTCAGAGTAGAACTGTGTTCCATAGGTTTCTCAACGGCTGAATTTTTGGAAATAGATGGTCAGGCCTTTATTCCAAGGAGCCTCTGGATGGGCTGGAATGGTCAACCTTTTGGTTAGCAGCTGAGTGCAGTAATAGTTTGCACCATGCAGGACTTAGAACTAGAGGGGCTGTGAAAAGCATCACAGGATCACTTGCTCCTTGAGACTCACGTATAACTGCATGAGCTATGTTTGACTTGCATTTCTGTACAGTGACTCTTATGTAAATGCCTCAAGGCTATTAGGAGTGTCCTACTCTGAATTCCCCTGGAACGAATATTAACATATATACCAACCCATGCACACACACCCATAGACACATAAAGCACACCACACATACCACACACACACACACACACCCCACACACACATACACCACTCTCACACACACACATATGCCACACATACATGCCACACCATACACATATACCACACTGCACACACATACTGCACAAACACACACACACAGCACACTCACACATGTGCATACACACACACACTCCTAAACTTAAAATATTAACAGCCATATGGCAGTTTTACTCCTGCCCATTTTGAAGTAGGCTAATTCAAGAGGTGCCCCAAACCCAGCCGCTCCAAACTTTCATTCCATCACTTACCTTTTAGTGTCAAAGTATGAGTCTATGTAAGAATGTGGAGCCCCCGCCACAGCGAAGTTACTGCTGCCTGTGTCAACAAGGATCTGCAGCTTTTTTTTTTTAAAAAAAGGAGAAAAAAATAGAAACCATCAGGTTATCTGAACAAGGCAACACTCTTGAATAAGTTTTTAAAAACTAAGCACTAAGCCCAAGAACAATTTATCAATTGGAAAAGACTTACACCAATTAGATGGGGAAAAAAAAACCAAAACTATTAAAGAACCGAAATCTAAACAGTGTATTAAGCAGCTTGCATTAGGAAGGGTCAAGGAGTTTTGTTTAGCTGCACACTGAGCTTGTATCTGCCCACAGAAAGCTTTGCAAGAAAATAAATTCAGTTAAGTAACTAGGAATTATTTCTTAAGCCACTGGGCCTTTACTAAAAAGCTCTTTCTTAACTCTGAGCTTTTGCCTGGTTATTTAAATCCTCTTTTTTTTTGGTTAGCTGCCATCAAGTCATCCCTCAATTCATGGTGACCCTGTGCCACAAAAGAACTAATCTCTGCCCAGTCCTGTGCCGTCCCCATGACCAGTCGTGGTTTGGACCATTATGATCCACAGGGTTTTCATTAGCTCATATTCAGACGTAGATTGCTAGGCCCTTCTTCCTAGTCTGTTTAAATCTAGAAGCTTCATTGAAACTTGGTCAGATTCAGAACAACACACAAGCTTTACTGACAGACGAGTGATGGCTGCACATGAGGTGTACTGGCTGGGAATCAATCCGGGTTTCCTGTGTGGAAAGCAAGTATTCTACCACTCAACCACTGCTGTCCTTTTTATCTCTCTAAGAGCTCTGGTGGCATAGTGCCTAAGGCATCTGACTGCTAACCAGAAGGCTGGCAGTTCAAACCCACCAGCCACTCTTCAGAAGGAAGACTGGGCACTCTACTTCCATAGAAATACCGCCTCAGGAACCCAAGGAGGGGTTGCTATGAGCCAGGATCGAGTTGATGGCAGTGAGTTTGGTTTGGCTATAATTTTTAGCTATTGTCTGGAAAATATCAACCTTCTACTAAGAAAGGAGCTGAAGGCATCTAATTCTTCAAGAATCTCTGTCCCACCCAACCTCTCAATATGTTATACTGTTGCTTTTCTCTTCTCAGGTTTATCACATTCCCCACAGTTGTTCAGTCATTGTTCTGTAAGAAAACAGCCTCACCAGCTTGCACCAGAGATTCTTCATCCAACCCTTGAATGCCTATGCTTTGCTCAGTGGCCTGTCCCACGATGGATGCCATATTCTTCAAGTGCTTTCATGTTTGAGGATGACTCTCCATGACCTTGACTATTGACTTGCCTAAACCAAAAAACACAAACTCACTGCCATCAAGTCAGTCTCAACTCATAGCGACCCCTCCTTGGGACCTCTAGTGGTGTAGTGCCTAAGGCACCTGACTGCTAACCAGAAGGTTGGCAGTTCAAACCCACCAGCCACTCCTCGGAAGGAAGATTGGACAATCTACTTCTGTAGTGATACTGCCTTGGAAACCCAAGGAGAGATCACTATGACTCAGAGATGACTCAAGGGCATATAACAACAATCTCATGGAAGTAGATTGCCTTCCTTCTGAGGAGTGGCTGGCTGGTGGGTCTGGGTATAACATATTTGGGTCATTTTTTTTTTCCCCTTCCCTCAACATCTTATAGATTTTTCTCCAATGTCATCCGGCAGTATTTTAGAGAAAATTGAGGCTTGTCTTAATTTTTCTTAATTTTCTTAATTTTTCTCTCTGAAAGTAACTTTCTTTCTGCTTAGATACTGAAGAATACTTTTCTTTTCTATAAACTTCTATATTTTTATCACAATATATTTTATTAATATATAGTAATATTGGTTGGTCCAATTAAATTTTCCTAGAAAATGAGGTTGACATTTCAATCTAAAATTTCAAATTACTTTTACTTAATTTTCAGGCAAATTTGCTAGTATATTGTTTTTCTGTTCCACTTGTTAAGTTTTTATTCAGTCATTCTACTGTCATCTTGGTCTTCCATGTCTATTACAGTGAAACGTGTGAGGGCCAGAACTGGCTGGGACTGCCTTCTTTCTCTAGAGCTTGTAAGTATTCTACCACTTTTCTTTTGCTCATTTTCAAAGGAGATACTTGAGACAGATTTCTGCCTTACACAGGACTGGTTTTTGCAGGTTTCATTGTAATACTTTTGTTCTAATTTCTTCAGAATTTATTTTGAGCCTTCCCTTTATAGCAGTAATTTGGTTTTCTTTTGCTTTTTGATTTTTTATTCTTTGACAGGTTGATTTTGCTCCTTGCTATCTCTAATGCAGTTATTAGTCTTACAGGAATGCCTTTTTGCTCCTCAACTTATTTCCTTGTGCTACAATATTCCATTGCATTCCCTTCATCTCACTTTTGAATTATATTCTGTTGAATTCACTGTTTGGTGAAATACATCTATAGCACAACACACTCAAGGAATTTTTCTCTATTCCTTTGTTATTATTTCTTCCAAAATGGATTTTTCATCTTTCTTTTGCATGACAGACCTCTTCTTTCTTTTAATCTTAAGTGGGTTTATGTAAACCTTAAGCTGTTTCACAGTTAATACAGGCATCTCCAGGTGAACTTTTGATTTTCCTTAGTGAGTGTTGTAGGAATAATCCCTGACTCCTCTCCATCTTGTCTGGGGCTGCTTGCCATGCACTCCAATCCACAGAGTGGTGAGAAGCCTGCCCACCAGGGGCAGTTCTTGCTCCCGAGACATCATTACACAGCTTATTCCAGGGTTCAGGACACCCAGTTGCTACTGTTGCTGTCAAGTCAATTCTAACCCATGGCAATCGAAGGGTAGAACTGTGCTCCAAAAGGTTTCAATGGCTGATTTTTTGGAAGTAGATCACCAGGCCTTTCTTCCAAGGAGCCTCTGGGTGGACTAGTACCTCCAATATTTTGCTTAGCATCTAACAGTGTTAATTGTACCACCCAAAGACCCCTCAGGCTACCTTGCCAGGCCCTCTCCCTCAATGGGCTCTATACCCTAGAATCTTCTCTTTTAAAGGATCCAGTGGCCATTTCCTTCATTTACTGGACTCTCTCCAGCCAGCTTTCCCATCATCTCTCTTAGTTAATGAGGAAATTAAGAGTTACCCCCAGTTCATTTTACTTTTTTGTGAGGGGTGCTTTACTAGTCTTGTTCCTCCAACCGCTGCTCCTCTATAGAGGGTCTCTTACTGGTTCACTTACACCCTGCCTCATCCCTGCTCCCCATCTCTGTGCTTATGCAGTGTTTCTTCCCTCTCTATCTTCCTCTTAGCTCAGCACATAGGCCCTTAGAACCTCTGTTGTGGACTCAGGTGTGAAAGCTCATGGATCCTCAGTGTCTGCCCACTCATCTGCTGAGTCCATTTCCCCCCAAATTCTAAGTGCTGATGAGAATTCTCAGTACTTTTCCACTCACTGCCCCATTTGCACAATATAGCTAGGGGCTAGTAAGTGGGAAATAGGCTTAAAAAAATCAATTCTTTACCACCTATTCATTTCTTCCTCATTTTTCCACTGTTCCTTCCCTATTTTAAATGTTGATTCATTTTAATGATGATCACACTTAACTAAGTACAAACTTGCTCAAACAAAAAAATAGTAATTCCAGACAATGCAATGTTAGTAATGCTCAGTTTTATATTTATCATCAGTATGCCGGAGTGAAATGCTCATGTTGCTATTGTTGTTAGCTGCCATTAGCTGGGCTCCCAACTCACAGTGACCCCACGGCACAATGGAATGAAACATTGTCCAGTCCTGTGCCATCTCCCGTGATGGGCTGCACATTGGATTGGTGAGATCCATAGATTTCAGGAGCTGATGTTTGGAAGTAAATCATCAGGCCCTTCTTCCTAGTCTGTCTTAGTCTAGAAGCTCCACTGAAACCTGTCTGGCACCGTGGCAACACTCCATTCCAGTGACAGATTGGGTGGGGGCTGCACATGAGTTACATTGTCCGGTCATGGAACCTAGGCAAATCCTCTTGGGCAGGTGAAGAAGAGTTTCTCTGTTTAGCTAATGTAAGTTGTTAAATCACTTTGGGAAATGAAAGGTTCTTGTGCTGGTAATACTGTCCAATGGCTTCACTAATAACTGATCTCTGAATTTGTATCAACTATGGGCTCCTGATTCTCCCCAAACCTGCCCATGTTGCTGCATCTGATCATGAATCACCAGATGACTGTGTTAAAAGTATCTATTTTAGGGTTCCAGTCTCCCCTATGGGAGCTCTGGCAGTGTAGTGCCTAAGGCATCTGACTGCTAACCAGAAGGCTGGCAGTTCAAACCCACCAGCCACTCCTCAGAACGAAGGTTGGGTAATCAATTTCCATAGAGATACCACCTTGGAAACCCAAGGAGAGGTCACTATGAATCGAATTGACTTGATGGCAGTAAGTTTTGGAGTCTTCCTTATGGGGCCGTGGTGGTACAGTAGTTAAGTGCTTGTCTGCTAACCAGAAGGTTGGTGGCTTGAACTCACCAGATACTCCACAGGAGAAAGAAGCAGTTTGCTTATGTAAAGTTACAGCCTTGGAAATCCTATGGTGCAGTTTTATTCTGTCCTGTAGGTTTGCTATGCAGGGGAATCCACTCAACAGTTCTACCCAGACAAGAGTGGGGCCTATGAATCTGTATTTTGAACAAGGCTCCCAGGGGCTCTGGATGAGCAGTGAAATGTAAGAGTCACTGATACAGTGTGGCAAAAGCAGGAACACTCACCCCTATGAATTCAGGGCTTTGCCTGTTAAATGAGCATAATAACCAAATCTCCAGGGGCTGCCATAAGGTAAACCAGTTGCCATCCAGTTGATTCTAACTCATGAGGACTCCATGTATGTCAGAGTAGAACTATATTCTGTAAGCTTTTCAATGGCTGATCTCTCAGAAATAGACCACCAGGCCTTTCTTCTTAGGCAACTCTGGGTAGACTTGAGCCTTCAAAGTCTTCTTTAGAAGCCAAGTGTGTTAACTGTTTACACCACACAATGTCTCCATCAAAAGGGAAAGTGGAGGCTTTAAAGACACCCACACAGAACAATTGCTCA